GTTCTCATCACTTTTCTTTCCGGAATACTTATGAAAACCCATCACAGCAGCTAAGGTCTGCAGGGTTGGAAAGCTGACCTTCCAAGACAAGGGGCAGAAACACAGGAGGCAATCTTTCTCCCATAAAATGACAGTTCCTCCACAACTTTTTTACCCTTTGGGGTATCCCTGAGAAAACGCAAAACCTCAATTTTGGCTTGTTGCAGCATTCACAATGGTGAAGAAAAAGCTGTCAGTATCCACTTGTCAGCAGCGTAGGCAGTTGTGGAACTTGAGGTCCATTTGAAAATACTTCAGGTATCTGTACGCAGTAGACTTAAATGCAAGGACATTAAAATCTGGCATGGAAGCCTACAAGGGCAGGACATGCTCCAGTCTGAAAAAAGACAGGTTTGGGTTGGGATGAAACAGAGACAACTAGTAAGAAATACAAATGCAATACTGCTAGTGATTTCATGTTTAAAAACATGGCATATCAGAGAAAACTAGTCTGTAGCATCCTATCGGAGCTGTTGCATTTCTCTAAGCTGACTGGCTTACTCTGCATCCAGACAAAACTCAGTTCACAGAAACAGTATATTCTTTTCTCTATATATCCCTTCAGGAGAAAAGGAAAAAAAAAACCAAACTCAAAACTGTCCCTATAGAGGCATCATCCACAGAGATAAAGAAGGCCTAAAACGAAGAAAAGAATTCAAGGGATCACCTTTCTAAATCTTCAACTGCTCAATCTTGAAAATACCAGGGAAGAAAACCAAAATACATGTGAGTTAACAGGCAGCTGCATAAAGCCATCCATGAGATCCTAATTAGGACTCTAGGAATTTCCAAAGAAGTTGATCCCACACCTTTCCCACACATCGTGAAAATCAATGCTCAGATAAAACAGATTCCATCTCCCTTTGTGTACTGCGTCATTGCAAAGAGCCCAGCACCCCCAAAACAGCACAGGAGGTGAAGGAATCGGCACTTATTGCCACAGAGCTTTTCCAATCAGGTTGATGTTGCAGTTCAGCTGCAAGCAATGGGATCCGACTCATGTTCAATGAGCATCAGCTCTACGCCTTGTTTAATAATGGAACTGGTGCACTATGGAAACTCTAATTGAGATGTCCCACTATATACGCTGGTGAAAGCATATATAGATACTGGTAATTCAGACATAATCTGAGGTTTGCCACGTAACTCCTACAACGAAGCTACTGGTACTTCTCTATCATTACTCATACAGGGCACTGCAAACCATCCGTGAAACAACTCATAAGACACTGGTAGACTCTCTATTAAGTAGCAGCATTAATATCTGATGTGTTCACAACAGTATATTTTTTTTAAAGCAGGAAAGTCTGAGAAAGCCATTATTTGTCACAGGATGATCCAAAGGCTGTTAATCTCCTGTCTACACCTTAAGAAAGAAAAGAGGAGAAAAATCTAATTTAAACAAGTGCTACTAGGGATAAAAAATTCAGACTGATGCTACATTAAATTACTCGGGAGGCTGAGGTATCCAGCCACGGTCTTCAGTAAAAAAGAAAATTATAGGGTCTATCAATTAGAGAAGCGGTGCTCTGAGCCTATGTGCTGGCATGCTTACAGTTTTTTTAATGTCTGGCAGGATGTTTTACAAACTAAACTCAGCAAGATGACAATTCCACCAGAAGGTGCTTCAGATGGTTTTGCTAATAATTTTGATCAGCTGAAATGGAGAAAAACATCACTTTGCTTATTTGGCTTTTCCAGAACCTGTCAAATCTGAGCAGAACCATTAATCGCCCCCTTTTGCATCTCCCCCCCCCATCTCTCCCACCTTCTTCCAGAAAAGACACACTTCAGCTTTATTTTTTTTCCCTGCAAGTATTCTGCATAATCAGCCTTTGTTCCAAAACAAACTTTGGTCATTCTTTGTGCACTTCCTTTGCTAGAAGGAAGTGCCATTTCTGGAGAGTATTCATTGGAGGCTGGTACTGCTACTGCTGCAAACATATAAGTGCTAACCACCATATATTGGCTTTTGTTTTAATAGCCTTTTAACCAACTTTGTTAATGGACTGAATGCAATTTAGATATGGAACTTGGCTAAAATGTAGCTTCAATTGGCTATTAAAATTTAAGAGCCAACTAAGATAGCTAATTACAAAAAAGCTCCAGTGATAATGCTAAGCAGAATTAGTAATAGCAAATGACAGTCTGTCTAGTCTTATTCCCAAAGGGAAAGAAACTCTTAACTGAGAAGTCAACCAGACAACGTGCAGAAAACCTAATTGCATTACTGGTATTATGGCATCCCAAATCTGGCAGCTCACTGGGACAAAACAGTGAGTAAAGTCTGTCAAACTACTCAGAAAAACAACTGACCCCCTTCTTAATGCCAGGTACAACAGATAACGGGAATTATGTTACTATTTTATATTAACTTACTGGGAAATATTCCTGTAAAAATTATCAAATCAGCACTATCTAAACAGTATCTTATACCCGTCCTGAATTCGATTCTCTCTCCAGATATTTCAGATTAGGGGAAAAAATATAAACAATCTGTCTGCAAAATGTTCAAGCACTAAAAGAAGCATTCGGTGCTTCATTATCAATATCCTCATTACACCATCAGCTGAAGTGGTGACTTGTTCTCCTGTGAAGATTTATCATGTATGGTGGCCACTTTGAAACATAGGTAGCAGAGTCTTTAACATTCCCTACTCAAGTGTCTCCCTGCTGTGCCTGTAAATGTCAGTCCAGTTTTTTCACGGCTGTGCGCACAGATTAGAAACAGCAGGAGAGCTTGGGAGTATGACTACAATACCAGTAAGGACACTTGTCTTCATGGCACTGCTCAAGTGATTCTTGGAATGCAGGACCCCGCTGTTTTCTAATATTTACACACAACTGGAGTCATCAAGAGCAGTAAATGCAGTCTAAAGGCAGCTTGCTTCTTTTGTGTTAGGGGCTTTACTTTCAAACGGGGATGTCAACAAAAACCTACTACACCCTCGCCTCTTAGGAAGTGGTGCATTTCCCCAGCGCTGTTTTGCAAGGCAGCGCGCACACACGCGTGCACGCACAGACCGTACACAACACAGACAGCCGTACCGCAGGCGTTATCGCAGCCTTCCACTTGGCTCATCCGGCCCGGCCCACGCTTCAAACACCACTGCAGCTTACAGGGAGCCAGAGCCCTTCCTGCCTGTGAAGGCTGCGGTTTTGCACAGTCTCTTGTGAGCACCGACAAGCCCCGAAAACAACATTCACCTAGCATGAAAAGTACCTTTCTCTCCACAGAACACGTACCAGTACAAACTTTTTCCAGGACTTTTTTGGGCGGGAAGAGGCAGGCGTAGCTTATGAAAACTGCACCTCAAAACATTCTTTTCAAATATATGGAAACACCTGTGTTTGCTGCGTTTGGCTTTGGTAGTGTGAAAAGAAAACACTCTCCTTGAAAATTTGGAAAGCAAAAAAAGGAAGTTTACCAGTAAATAAGTTACTAAAAATTAAAATGTCAAACAACCAGACAAGAAATACAACATGCTTTCTTGACAATAGTTCTTCAGTGCAACATTCATTTTGAACAAAATGATTAAATGAAGTCATCAAAATGATAGTTTGATTTGAGGAGCTTTAAACATGAGAGAAGTTTTAGTAATCCTATTTTTTACAACTGAAACAAAGAAAATGCTATGCTTAAAGTCACCAGCCACACTTTGCTAATACCCAGGACGACGAATCTGTTTAGCAGTCAAAGCAATGAGAAAGCACTAGACCTTTTAAAAATGTTATTCCAGTTTTATTTCAAAACAACAGATTCCCTTGTTTTCAAAACATAACCTTATCACTCATTCAACATTTTATGCTACAACATATTTATTTCAGTGAGTAGCAACTCAGACATTACACAAGAAAGCAGGGCACCGGACATCCACACAAATAGACCACCCATTGGCTCATAAGGATTCCTTTTGGCTTGCCAGACTTCACATGAATGATGTTCATAAACAAAAAGTAGTGGTATTTCACGCCAAACTTAAACATTGCCTTTTTTTGGCTTACCACTCTGAAGAGAAGACTCAAAGCCAAGCAAGGAAGCACTTTTAAGAAAGGCTATATGCTTCTCAATCATTAAAAAAAATGTAAACCATTATTTTGTTACGAGACGCACACGTGAGTCAAGCTTTCACTGGAACTACATACTTTACAAAGTTATTCTTCATAATTATAACTCTTGTAGCCTTTTCACTAATATAAAAAGAAAACCTGAGGAGTGGGGTTCAGAATGGGCATTGGTTTTTGGTTGGTTCTTTTCTTTGCCCTGGGCCCTACATCTGAAATTCTGGTCTCTTTCCCAGAGAAACTCTGAGTAATTAGAAAAGTGATACAAACCCAAATACTACGCAAGAAAATAACTAAAATTCATTACTTGTCCTCCAAAGAATTGTTTACACATTTTTTATAACAAACTAGAATGGAAGGATGTGATTTTTTTGTCTTAAGTTCTTTTTAATTCAAACATTTGTTTAAGAGATCTCTCTACCATTTCAGACTTCATCTCTGTGTACATCTAAGTGACCTCCAATAAGACTTTACTCAAAATTAGAAGAAACCAAATGCAACACCACTGTTCCTTATAAAGCTCCCATAACAAAACTAAATAAGGCTTTATTTCTACATTATAAAGCAGAAAAAAGCACTTTCTTTTAGTTTGCCTTTAAGATATGAATTTGTGCATATAAAGAATAAAAACGCATCCTCAATTCAAAGTTGGAAAAATTTTGCATTAGTATTTAAGTACAATTAAATTATGCAAATATTTTAATAAAACATTTATTCTTCAAAAACAGGTACAAAGAGCAGTCCATGCTTTTACAGGATTCAGCATTTAAAAGGGAAAGAAAAAGATTCCAGTGCTACAGTAACTGAAAACAAAAACAAAAAACAAAAAAAAAAAAATAAAAAAAAAAGAGAGAGATGAGCCAAAGAGCAACTTAATTTGTTGCTCTATCTATTAATTACTTCTGGACTCTCTTTCTGGTTGCTGTGCCTTTCTTGGGTTTTGGTGAGGCCATCTTCCGGGTTCTGGTAGCGACATCTGCAATTCAAACAAACAAATGAACAAAAGACAAGACTTTCTATAAAATAAAATAACAGAAATGGATCACAAGAAAATACTTGTAGTCTTTAAGAGGATAGATAAACTCAAATCATTCATTTAGTTTTGACTGGGGGGGGCGGGGGGACACATGACAGACTCAGAGGTATTTACGACAATTTCTGGGCACCGATTTTCTCCTGAACGACACACTGTACAATTAATCTTCTCCAACAGTAGCATTACATACAGTTAAGCCAATTTGGTAGCTCGCCTCCACCACAAGACAAAGAATTAGATCCTCTTCCAAACCTAAACCCCTACTTCCTCACCATGCACCAACTTTCAGTTCTATGATCCCTCCCAGTATTAAGCCCTTTCTGGTGGTCTTTGGACCTTGTGCTAAGCTGATCCAGCTCCATAACCTGGCAAAGAACTTTTTTTTGGTCTAGCATTCTCATAGTTTAGTGCATTGCAGCATCTTAGAGCGTTCTGAATGGAGTTCATACAAGGGGAGGGGGAAGGCACACAGGTAGAAAAGAGGAAGATTTTTGTTTGGCAGCGTCGAGCTGTTAAATCAGCTCAGCTCTGAGTGCAACTTCACCCATAGATTTCAAGCTATTATTCGACAATATTTATTAACAAAGGTAATCAACAGTGCCATCTAAGTAAGATTCCTAACAAACCTGGCAGGCAGGTTGTTCAAAGAGACCATACTTAAACACAACAATAAAAAACTCTCTGCACTTGGACTCTTTCCTGCCCACTAGCAGGGAAAAGGAAAAAAAACCACCCAAACCACCACAGCTCATTTCTGTGAAATCACATTCAACTCTCATCACTTTGAGAAAAAATATTACACATAATAAAAATTGCTACCATTTTCACAAACTCTGTTGCGATGAAATGTTTTTCATCTCCTACTCACAGTATTATTTTAGGGTTTTTTTAATCCTGACTTCCTCCTTGAAGTCAGCGTGCCTAACCAAGTTCCTGCTTGTAAAACTATATATAACTCTACAGTTCCTGTCAACTACTTAATCTGCATTACTGACAAAGAAAAAAAGGTAAAATTGAGTTTCATAGAAGTCCTTAAGAAAGAAGCTGCTTGCATAAGACAAAAGCCTTTGAGCAGTGTGAGTCACTGATCACTCAAGGTCAATGAGTAAATTTGGGGGAAAGCAAGGAGGCAGAGAACAATGCAAAACAAACCAAAGTAGTCTTGATTATACCCAAAATCACACCAAGAAAAGCAACGAACTATTGCAAAGTTTTGCTTTCACGTTAGCTTAATTTTACATAACTTAACTTGCTCTTAAAATGATGATTTGAAATTAAAAATACCAAAATTAACTTTGAAGAATTTTTCCATTCTTGAAAATGGAGAATGAAAAACTATTCTTGTTCCATTTTTGTCCAGGAGCACTTGCTGCATTCATTCAATATAAAACTATAAATAGACTTTATCAGAGAATACATCTTTGATTACTAAATCACTTTAAAAAAAACCCCAAACAAAACAAAACAATGGACAGCCCTGGTGATAGTCCCTCACTGAGCAGAGCAGTTTTATTAATGAAAGATCTGTTCTGGCAAAACACACACCACCACACCACCACCACCCCCCTCCAACTGCTTTGTAAAAATCAAATCCATTCTGGTACCCTGACAAGTACTGGCAGCTAAAAGCTATACAAGCAGGTTTCAAACTATAGTAACCATGTAAATCATTCCTTCTCCCAGCTAAATTCTGGTTTATCTTCAAGAATTAGTTTATAATTTTCTAAGTCACAAAATATTTCAGCTACTTTAGTTGTGAATTCTAGCCACAGACATGGCTTCTGCATTCTCAAATTGAGTAGTCTTAGTGGTGTGTAGGCCAAGTTATCCTATCAACTGCATGAACCACACTGGTTTTCCTCTCCCCATTCCTCCTGAGATTTTTCCCTGGAATCTTTGTATTGCAACAGAACGCAGAGAATGACAAAAGTTCTCTCTTCAAGAAAAATCTGATCTTTTTCCCTTTCATTAATCTTCACCGGTTTTGACTGAGGTAACTGGGATTTTTCTTTTTCTCCAATCATAGACTGTATAACCAAGTGGTGCAAAGACAGGTCAAATTTACGTTCTATTATCAGAAAGACTGTCAATATGAAAAAGTTGACCTTAGGTAGGAAAATACAACAGGTGTTTGTTTATAGAGAAAAAAGAAATGAGGTATCAGATTTTCATGTTTGTATTTCAGGAATGTAGTACTTCCTGGTAGTCACGGGCAACATAACCAATTGAAGCTCACTAATTCCTAACTCAGGAAGAGCTTACCCGTTTCTAGTTGCCCATCTGGAACACCAAAAAGGAAAAGAGAGCTACCCTGTCTCCAGATTTCTCCTTTATCTTTATTGCATTAATGAGTGCTTTTCAAGGCTTTTCTAAAGAAAACATGATCATCGAGAATCCCTAAGTGAATCATAACAAAAAGGAAAAAAAAAAAAATCCCTGTCGTGGTTCTTTCATTCATAATTTCAAACTTAAACAGCAGAAATATTCTCTTAAACTATCGGATTAAGTTAACTATGTTAAACTCAGAATGACTGCTCTCAAGCCATAGCTTCAACGTTTGCAGCTATTTCAGAACTGAAGGTCTTCTGTACCAAAAAGCTTGTCTGCATTTTCAAAACCAGTTAGCCTGATAATGTATATTGCCCGCTCCCCACAACTTTTTCTTGTGGGAGAAATGTCAATTCTGTTTCTGAAAACAGGAGAAGTCCTGTGTGGGCAGCACCAAAAGAGGACACAAACAAAGCTACTACAAGCAAAGGAGAGTGTTTTTATAAAGCAGATTAAACTGAATTAGGTTGAAACAGTAATTTAAATGAGGAAGAATTATATAGGCAAAAATAAACCAGATGGTGTCACTGCACAGCTTGTTTTGAGACTGGAACAAAGTTCAGCAGAGGCATAAAGAGTCCCACAGGCTCTAGAGGAATTATTAGACAAGTTGACTGTGATATCTGATCCCCTCTGTGTAAACAGTATTATAAAGTAACTTTACAAAAGAAACCCAGCAGTACTGTGTATAGTTTTGGGCTCTATCTTCCAAAAAAGTTCTAAGAAAAATGGGAAAAAAAAAAAACAGGACTGGTGATCATGGATTCTAGCTCTCTAAAAAAAAAAAAAAAAAAAAAAAAAAAAGGAAGAGAAATGTGATGGTGTAGCCTTTTGTACTCATGTCCCAGTGGATAGGACAACTAATAAACTTAAGGGAAATTCATATTAGGTACTAAAAATATCAAACGAAAATACTCTGCCTTATCAAACCCTTTTTATTAGTAATGATAGTTAAGTATTACAGTTAAGTATTGACCATGGATGTTTTAGAATCTTAATCATAGAGGTTTTAAGAGAAAATATTGGAACATATCAAGATTAACACAGATGTAGATCGATAAGCCTGTCCTCAGGCTGGTGTATACAGCAGATCACTTCTTGATGTCCCTTATCCTGTTTTCCAATTCTACATACATTGTTTTAGAAACACACAAGTCTTATGAGTAATAGAAACAGAACCGCACTTGAGTGAAAAAATGAAAGTTTCTATAAAATTACAGAGGTTCCTTTGGTAAAAATAAGCAGATACCAGAGTCCCAAGTTAACCACTTAATTGTCTGGTTTTAGGGAAATGAGGCCAGTGAGAGACTCTGAGCATGAAAACACAGCTACCAAGCAGATGAAATCAGATAAGATTTAAGTGTTAACGGTGACTTCTAGGTTACATTATAGGCTAGAGTATTTGAAAACAGAACCACATACAGATTTTAGACTCTAGGCAAACATCAGGTAAGTGAAAAAACATCTAGCAGCAGGTATGCTGGAGGTTAGCAACTGCATCACTTGCATATGCTGAATTTACACCTGACGAAGACTAAGTACCTGACAGTCTGTATAATGACTGAAGAGTTCCAGAAATTCCAGTCTATGCAAGCTCTTAAACTAGTAATTGTCATTAAACAACACAGCTAACATCTTTCACCCTCAAAAGAAGCACATGCAGTTGAGTATGTTGATCAGACACTGCAAGGCTTCCCTTCTTAAAAAAAAAAATAAATCTAATCTGTGTGTGCACATGTGCATAATCTCACACACACACTTTGCTGTATGTTTACCTCTTTAAGAAACAAAGGTCAATAAATCTGGAGTGTCAGACAGTTCTCAAGCGGTTTCTGGAAGAGATGTTCTCTGACTAGTCTCCACACAGATGGAGCTTAATCATCATTTCTGTATAGACAGCAGTGTGCCACAGCAGGGCAGTCTTATGACAGAACTGACATTTCTTTAATACTGACAAGCTCACCCCACATATACTGAACTGCCACAGTTAAGCTGAGAAGTGATGAGGTAGGAATGAAAGGGCCACTGACCTAACACAACTCTCCCTAGTCAACTAGATATGATCTTGCATATGCCACTATATCAGATCTCAGTGCAATAAATTAATCCAAGAACAAGTTTTGTTACTAATTTAAGTAACTAATTGTGGACTTGTAATTTCCAAAGGAGACAAATTTAGGACTGTTAGTTCTTCAAAATTCTTTCACTGACCACAGTATCACTTTTGTCTTGCAAAATATGCTTCAGTCATGTTTCATTTGGTATGATCAAAGACAGTTAACCAGGTCGTTTTGCTAGATGGCTCCCTAGGAGACCTTTTTCCTTCAACTGCCCCTTAAAAGGGTTCCACAATCATCAAACTGAAAAGGGAAAACAAGAGAATGGAACTCATATAATGCAATTTACATATGGAAGGAATAAAAAAAAAAAAAACCAAAGCATTGGAAGCTGAAAGACTACACTCGGCATCCAGCTGCAAACATCAAATGGGAACCGAAGCCAGGCTGTGCAGCATTTTAGAAAAAAAAAAAAATAATGTTAAGCATCAGACTAGTCTAATGTTCTCAAATTAGTCTGGGCAGTTTGAATATTGTGCCGAGGAAGAGTAACTT